TAGACTCACATGACTTAGAATGTAACTTTAAGCAGGGCGTGTTAGATGTCAAATCGAATGATAAGAAGGTTATACTTAGGATATACAAGCACAATAATCTGTACTTGTTAGAGTTCACCACTATTTGTGGAGAAGTTTATTTTACCAGATTTTGAGTAGAGTTGTCTCATGTATGGGATTCCAGACTAGGCCATATGAGTAATAGGTATCTGTCTCTTCTTGATGAGAAAAATGTGTCACCGAGTTTGGGTAAAGTTGACTTGGCATTTTTTGAACATTGCATCATGGGCAAACATCATAGGCAAGCTTTTAGTGTTGGAACTCATAATTTCACCGAGTTACTAGAGTATGTACATGGTGACATAACGGTCCCATCTCTTTTTGCCTCACTCTCAAGAAGACTATACTTTGTATCTTTTATAGATGATTACTCCATGTATGTGGGTATTTTTTTTATCCACAAGTCTGAGGTGTTTACCACCTTAAAAATCTTGATGCATACAAGTTGAGACTTAGACTCGCCAAAGGGTAAAATATTTGCGATGAAAAAATGACAGCGAATATACTTCTTAGGAGTTTTAGAGGTATTGTTTAGAGGAGTAGATTACTCGCCATTCCACGACAATTTACACTCCACAACAAAACGCTATTTCTGAGAGACTCGACAGAATAGAGTTAGAGAAGGTGTAAAGTATGCCCAACAAATCCGATTTACCATGAGAATTTGAAACCAAAGCCGTCAACACCTTAGTCTATTTGGTAAATCTTTCTCCTTCTATTGCAATCATTTTCTCCACATCGTTTGAACTCAAGCATAAACGGATGATAGATTCCAGTCGCTTGAAAATTTTGTGTTGTATTGCTTATTCTCTTACAACAAATGAGCAAAGTACTAAGTTAGATTCTACGTCCAAGAAATGTCGTTTTCTTGGATATGCTAGTGAAGTGAAAGGTTACAGGCTATGAGATCCACTAGTCCGTAAAGTGATTTTTAGTATGATAGTTTCTTTCAATGAACTCGGTTTGTTGAACGAGAAGGAGAATTCCAATGCGCTTTGTACTGACGAGGAAAAATCTCAAGTCACGGATGTTGTTGTGGAGGAGTTTGATCATTATATCACTATTAATCTATCACAAGAAGGAGCATCAGTGCATAAAAAACAAGAGGAACAGGATCAAGTTATCATTGATGAGCCTATTGCAATAGTTTCAAACGATAAATATCAACTGAAAACATCTACTAGAAGATCGTATCGTGCTAGTAAGACTCTTGAAAAGTTTGATGTATGGGCAAATTCTTCCATTCTCGAAGATCGTGACTTTGATGTTGAAGATGGGAATGATATGCAATTGATTTTGAAAAAATGTGAATCTTCTTCATATTGAAAATTTCAACAAGCTTGAGTGGAATGCTGCAATGGAGCTGGATATGCAATCCTTGATTGACAAGAAGACTTGGAAGCTGGTTGAACTTCTTATGGATCATACGCTGATTTACTCCAAGTGAGTGTGCAAGCTAAAGAACAATCCAGCAGGAGACGAGACGAAAACCTTCAAAGCTAGGCTAGTGGCTAGAGGTTTTACACAAGAAAAGGATGTGGACTACAATGAAGTTTTCTCACCTGAAGCTAAGTATGCTACAATTCGTTTGGTATGTGCACAGCCACGATATTTGGTTTTGTTATGGATCAGATGGATGTGTTTATAGCCTTTCTCTCTAAATATTTAGAATATAAGATCTACATGAGACAACATGTTGGCTTTGAGGTCAAAAGCAAAGAGAGTTTAGTTTGTAGATTGTTGAAATGATTGTATGGACTGAAGCAAGCTTTTAAACAGTGGAATACGCGATTTGATGAGTTCATGAAGGCACAAGATTTTTTACGGAACGTATATGATTCTTAAGTCTACATGAAAAAGGTGAAAGATGAGATGTTCAATCTCATCATTCTAGTACTCTACGTAGACGACATGTTCATCTTGGCGAAAAACCAATCCGATGTTGATGAATGCAAGAGTAAGTTGAATATGCATTTAAGATGAAGGATATGGGGGAGTCGAAGAGAATATTAGACATGGAGATTCATAGGGATCTTGAAAAGAGTAGATTATGGTTGAATCATGAAAAGTATGTTCGTCGTATACTTGATAGGTACAACATGGTCAAATTTCAAGGAGTATGAACTTCTTTGGCATCACATTTCAAACTCTCCGCAACTCAATATCCTTCCAATGTTGTGGATGAGTAAGAATGTCATGTGTTTTCTATGAACAAGCTGTAGGCAGCGTCATGTATTTGATGGTGTGCACTAGGTCGGACATAACTTTTGCGATGAGCAAGGTGAGCAAGTACATGTTGAATCCAGGAATAGTTCATTAGAAAGCAGTGAAATGAATGATGACATATTTGAAGAGTACTATGGATTATGGCTTACTGTTTCATGGTTTATTAGACAATGCCAAATCCTTGTTTGGTGTTGTTAATGTTGGTTATGTTGATCTAGATAAAAGTAGATCTACAATTGAATATGTGTTTACACTTGACGGTGGAAGCACTAGTTGGAGGTCTACTGTAACCATCTTTAGTTAGTTAGAACTAAAGTAGAGGTTACTCTGAATATTGATGTAGATGCTTTAGTGTGCACTAGTCATAGCTGCCACGTCAGCGATCCGCACACTTGGTAGGTACAGAGTGGATGTGTTAGTTGACAGTGCCACGTCAACAATCCGTGTGCTTGTAGGTAAGGATTGAGTGTGTTAGTTAGTGTGTTAGTTGGGTGCGCCAGGTCAGCGATCCGTGTGCTTGTTAGGGTTATCCGCCACGTCATCCATCCACTAGGAGTGGGATGGATGGTGGGGATTAGATCTTATCACTTTGTACTTTTTGGTGAGAGCTATATAAAGGAGAGGAGAACCATTGTTGGTATCTCTCATCTTCAGAGTTTACGTTTCTATCTTCGAGTGAACTTCTCTCTAAACCCTAGTGTTACATCTACCTTGCAGAAATGCGTACTTCAATCAACAACGGAAGATGAGTTTGTGGTAGCGGCAAAGGAAGCTACTTGGTTGGATAGGCTTATCATGGAAATGGGATTGAAGCAAGTCATGATTTAATCTTCATTCTCATAACTGTAGTGCTTTACATTTTGTTACGAATTAGGTCATGGATAGCAGAGTGAAGCACATCAACATTAGATACGATTTTATCAGATAAGCAATGTCTAATAAAACAATTAAGCTAGCCAAGATCAACGGTAAACTCAATCTAGCTGATACTTTGACCAAAGTTATTCATTTGGAGAGTTTAAGGCGACAGTGTGTTACCATGCAGGTTGTGCATGAGGAGCAGATGTAGAATTGGCTAGCAGAGTAACTTTAGTTATCTCTTTTTATATTTACTCCATTCTGTGATGTTTACGGTTTAACTTTTATGTAAAGAGGGAGCTTGTATTAAGTTTCTTTCTAGAATTTCCCGCGAAGTAATTATATAAATTACGAGATCTCTGATATCTCTATGCTAGCAAGTTTTCTAGTTATGTATTTATGTTGTTACTTTATGCTGTTATGGCTACGGTTAACTTTCGTTTGTGTTTAAAACTTCATGCTAAGTAATAATATAGATTACTGTTTGCTTAATATGAGTTAAGAGTGAGATTGTTGAGATTAACTTCAGTTAAAGAGTAACATCATGTTATAGCTATTTAGAGTAGGTGTGTCGATGACCTTGGCTATATATATATTCCCAAGGCTTTTACTCAAGATGTGTTATATTCAGTTGTTAGTAAACTCTCTCGCCTGTTTAACCCGCGGAAGTAACCCTTGAGGGTGAATCACATGTCTCTTGTGTTCATGCTTGGCTTAGTTTTACATTAAGATCTTGTGTGAAAAAACTCATCATTCTTTGTCTTAATTTGAGATATTCTCTTAATCTTATCTTTTGTTCCATAATAGAGTTGCCTTCCACAACACTTTTTCCCTCAAATAGATGATTATTGAATCTCATTTGTTTATAAAATTGTTGTGAAGTTCAAGTTTGAATTTCAAATATAAACTTATTATATAAACATTGAGAACATGTATACAAAACTTCATTAATTATGAATGTGATGAAATATGTTGACTCGATAATTGTATATACTAATAGTTGATCAATATTACCCAATTTAACGATTTATTTATTACACTTATTTAACATATAATACATTAGAATTTTAAACACATGGAACACACAGAAATTCAATTCTGATTAATTTGTTATTGGAGTTCCCTTTTCGCGTATAACTCTTGAAGATCCTCAACTATAAGAGATATTGGGAGAATTACGCAAACACAAGAAAATCTTCCGCACAGTTGCGTCTTCATTCCATATTACTAGATTGTGTACGATTTTTATAAATCTAAACTGAAATCTAAAGTGTCTAGGAAATATCCATACGATTATATAAATCAATTAAAATAAAATATTTCATTGAAATTTGAGATTCAGAGTAGTTCATTGTCTTAAAATGTCAACATAGGAACTCATCTCGATCTCTTCATGCAACCCACCTGGACGAGAAGTGCAATTACATGCAAATCAGTCTTGTATCACACATGTCTGCGACCAGTTGATGATTTCAAGAGGTCACTTAAGTGGGATCGATACTTGCTGGAGTTGAATGAAATCAATCGAGCGGCTCAAAATTTTTCTACACAAGGACTCCCATCATGTTTCTCTTCGTTGGCAGTTCATCCAAAAGCTTCTTGTGGACGACTCTGATACTCTGTCGAGAGTAAATACAATATTGCTGTAAATTCCTTCAATCAAGTATGTACACTACACAAGTCACCCTTCGTTCGTGCGTGTCTGTCATTCCACCCGTATTTCGTGGGTATTCCCTACTTTGAGCACGTCAATATATTACAGACTAAGCATTTAACCAATTTAGAAAAAACAAACTGCGTATCCCCAAAATGTACACTAACTTTATTGACTTGACGACGTTTCATAATTAGAAATATCACCGGACATTAATTTCTCATTCGCATCTATTCAGAAATAGAACAGACAACATGTCTTAGATGCAAGAGTCTCTGAGGGCTCAGACGTACTTAAACATCTTGTGCATATGCTGAATCATCTTTATCTCATGACATTGGCAACACTTTTTATTGATAATCGACATTCGACCATCCAACCACTTTCCGTCATCGCTGGAAGACTTTCTGGGCAGGCTAAGAAAACCATCCAGCTACTGTAGCAGTCGGCAACTCGACGCATAAAAATAATAACTTGCATCTGGAGACCTCTCCAGAAAAATATAACTCAAGTGACAAGAAGTTAACATATTTCAACCAAGTTGGACTCTTAGCTTGTGCGAAGATTACCACAGCTTGAAATAAGAGAATGTGCTCAATTCAGTAGACTATGAATGCTAGAGCGTGACTTAGATGACCTCGTCCAAGAGATTGGATGTAATGTATAGACACTACTGCTTGCACAACCCGATCCTGCTGCTTCACAAGACGCATCTTCGATATTGCACTCACTACACTGTGGTTTTGTCCTCCGGGCAAAAATACCCCATCTATTCTCAAATTGCCGATGCTGATCAGTTCTCAGAAGTGTTAACAAGATATCAAAGACATCTTATCTAGATGTCATCATCACAGACAGATGCAGAAGTCATAATGGTGCATTTACAACTTCCCTTGTCATCAGCTCCGTATATGGTCATGGTTGGATGGGGAATAAGCTTGATTTGATGCATAAGCGGATGTTCAAAAACCTGCCCCACTTGTCCTTGTACCCACGGTTGTACCCATACTCGGACCACCTGTGCGGTATTGGTACAGATGCTCGATTGCCACTCCCGTTAATTTGCGGGGCGCGATGCCCAGATCCTTGAACGTCAGTGCTGCAATTTTCAAGACACAGGGTTCAACTTGAATGTGAGGTCTTCAATATCGGTCACTTCAGTGACACCCTTGACCTTCTATAGAGACATTAAACTCTGACAGTATTTATAACCTCTCAACAACACCCGACCTACCGTTTGGTGACACAAGGTAGTCAACTTCGAGCGAGTCAATGTTGTTGCGCGAAAATGTCACCATTTTAGGTGTCGGGAAAGAAAGTCCTTTCAACCATTCATTTGGACCAGCCATCACCTGTACAGACCAGTCAAGTGATCGCAAGTTACTCAGTATGTCGAAAATATTGACGTCAATCCATCAAAGGCATATTTTCGGCAAGATACGCAGCAAGATTGATTAGCAAATCATGCTGGGAAAATACAGACAATCTGAGGCTCACCTTCGCAACTGGGAAAGGGATGTGAGTAACTCTTGGCTCCTCCCTGATAGACTCGTACACCAAGGCGACCTGCAATGACAGAGTCAGGATAACGAATCTACCTTGGAAGAAATCCCACACCCTTTCGTGTGAGCAAATAGAAAAGATCTTAAATAAGAGACTGCCAAGATAAAACGGATAGACCATGAATCTATAAACAGCTGATTCCGTAGGTAATCCGGAAGTTCAATCTTGAATATGAGGGATGGTGATCGTAAAACAAAGGAAAATGGATGGAGAAAGACTGAGTCAACATCCTCACGAGTTCATTGACTGTAAATACGTCTGGTCCGCCGAGCTCGTAAGTTTTCCCAATGCTGCTCCCATCGTCTTTAACAGACGATACAACAGCCGCTGCAACATCTAAAACATGAACTGGTTGCAACCTGACAAAACGACCCTCAAGTCAGATCAGATCACTGTCTCTCACAACAGCAAAAGATCATCAACACGACAGCACATCAAGATCTCAGAAAATTGCAAGCTCATTTCAAGAGGGTACTACGGTGATTACTTATTGTTCCCACTGCCGATGATGGGTACAGAAGGCATCTTCTTGGCAAACATAGCCCATTTATTGAGAAGGCGGTCCTCTGTTCCAACCAAAGCAGCCGGCTTCAAGACAGTGGCCTGAAAGTAACTAGATATTAATCCATAATCCAGATCGATGGTAGAATGAGATGCGAAAAGATGTACTCAGATTATTAGACCAGTGTAAATAGACAAGTGAAAGGAGCTTGAAATAGAACCTCTGGGAAGTTTTCCAAAGTCCACTTGTCTCCCTCCGCCTTGGTCCGGTAATGCTTCGATGGATTAAGAGGGGAAGCACCAAGGCATGAAACTTGAATATATCTACTGATGTCACCATGCTCTCGTGCCAGCTGCAAGATTCAACACCACACGAAAATCAGATTGAGCAAGACCGCTTTGAAGAGTACAAAACTAGACAGTTGGAACAAGGAAAAAGATTGGCCACTACCTTGTGTCCACCACAATATATATCAGCTTACACATTGGCAGTTACAAACAGACAACACAGTGGTTTGACGGCCTGGCTGACAACAATGGATGCATGTGATTATCCAAAATTAGTACTCGATCACCAGAAACAGAGATAAACTGGCAGACTCTGCACTTTACCCTTGACAGACGCTCTGGAATAGCAACGTTTAGTTCTTCAAAGCTGAAATTGCTGGTCTCGTAGTCCCTACCTGTGAAAGAACAGAAAGACATGGTAAAGAGCTCAAAAAGGTGATAAGGTATCCGTTGATGACAAAAATAAAAGCCCAAACCACAATCCCTCACACAAATATAGGCTTCTACAGAACATTGCGTAGAAAGACAAGTGGTTAACTACAGGCCAAACTGAACACTACATATTGCTCCGACAGTCAGTCCATACAAGTCAACATAACCTACCAATAAGATTGATCACAACATTAGAGCTGGCCATGGCAGCCTTAATCGACTCTTCATCTCGAGCGTCGTAAGGTACTGGCACAACCTGAATTCCAACCAAACATCCGAGCCACAAATTAGCCAATTCTTGTGAGACCAAGAGACCAAGATGGGAACTTCTCGATTCAGATAAATAAGTGGTACCCCACTCTTATCGGGCAAACAAATGCTCTCCTCATTACCTGCCCCAAATCTCCCATAAGCTTCAAGTGCTTGAACTCATCCTCCAATCCTCTGTAAGGCACAAAAACCTGTGATCCCATTCTTGCTGAAGAACAAAACAGGACACAGTTACTAGATATGGCCAATAGGATTCATAGGTACTCAATAATGATTTAGAGATTTCCTGAATGACCATGTAGAAAGATACTATGGGCAAAATAATTGATCTTAGAAAAGTTATATAGCAACCCAGCATAGGCATCAGAGGCAACAATTCTGTAGAGCACAAAATGAGCGTGAGATTATAAGAGTATTATAAATATCCACTATTTTCTGTGGCAAAATTGACCTTTTTTGTCATATCTTTGAAAAAACATAGAGCATCAGAAAATGCTTTAAACCTACAAGCCTCTCATTCATTCACTCGATTTCAGAAGGTCGACATTCCAGTAGAGAACTGGGAGATATTTTACCCAGTTGCTGGACGACATAACGTCCAAGAAAACCCGTTGCTCCGAAAACTGTGGCCACATACCCACTGTAAAAGAACACTAAATATCAGATCCAGTCACCACGTCATAAGACTACTACAAAAGCCACATGCAATACTAGAAGAGAAACCACATCAGACGACTAGATTCACAGAACGGCGTAAAACTAAGAAGGACCATACACAGCGTGCAAAACAGACCCAAAAATGTCCTGATAATCTCGAGGACAGAGATTACGCCTTGGTTTGCTAAACAAACAACTGAAACAACGAAAATATGAAAAGAGTATGAAGGCCACTCAGAGAATGCACTAGTCAGTCTGCACATGGCAATGTAAACACTTCGCTATATCCTTTCCGGACAATTCATACTAACCTGACGGATGAACGACCTCCAGTACCCTTCTTAATTGGATTCGCAAGACTTGAGGAATGCCGAACCTCGCCGATGGGATTTTCTGAAAAAAAAATAACCAGCAATTTCGAGCTCTCCAGACTCAGAAACCTGCACTTGAGCTCTTCATACTACGGTGATGTGAGGTCCCTACATTTGCCAGAAACATACAAATGCGTCCTGTAATCTGTAACCAGTTCGTGAGAAAAGTGGAGGCCTGAAACTACCTCCTGAGCATCCCAAGAGAGGGTATGGGCAAATCTCCCTTGAAACGGAGGACAGGGCAGGTGTCACCCGAGGAAGCAGACGTTTGGCAATCATGTTGAAGCTCTCGATTCGCGACTCAGGTCGCTCTGCATCAGGTTGCGGGGCGAAATCAATATTACTTCCCAATTCAATGATCGATATTATGCTTGAATTTCACGGGCCCTTGTGAATGCCTCAAGCAACGGCACTCTGAATTGTTCGTACCTTATATCACCGGCAGGAATGCAAACTACCAAAACTCGTTTCCCTGCAAATCGCAACACAAGAAAAACAACCCTTTTCAGAACCTCTCCTCGAAGACAGTAACTAGATCAGGTCAACTCATACGCAGCCCCAGAGCTGGATTCGGAAGCCAAAAACCTCATCGACAAGGTCCAAAAATAAACGGAACCCTCAGAATGCCAAGAACAGAATCCGGAACGCTGAATTCGAGTCCTAATCGACTGATCGATACTCGAATCGTGAGCTCAAAACACGCGAATCCACGGGCGGAAGATCGCCATCGGAGTTGCTAAGAAAACGAATGACGAAGGCAGAGGAATCGTGAAGGGCAGTACCGAGAGCCAATCGTCCATGCATGAGTTAGTGGATGCCCTGCCCTCCCCTCCCCGTTCGTGCCTGCACCGTCGGGCTTCGTGCGAGCCTCTGCTGCCTTCGTCTTCGCCTCGAGCTGTGCCGATCGTCTTTCTTGTGCTGCTGCCTTTGGACAGCGCCAGTCGACGCTCTCCTCGAAGAAAAGGGTTGTCGAGCAGCTCCTCCTCTGCCTCCTCCTCCTCCTCCAGTACCGCTAACTCTTCCGTGGACGGACGGAGAGTCGGACGGACGGACGGACGGACCGGCGCAGTTTCGAGCCAGAATCCTCCGTCAGATATCTCTGAACTCTGCAGCCGAATCATTTCTCAATTGCTGCATTGTCATCGTGTCGTTCTTTTGGTGCGCTTTTATTTTCATTTTTTCTTCTAGTTGCTAGTGCTTATTCTAATGCATGTTTTAGCACACAATCCATTCAAATAACTGCGTATAATGATACAGACATCCTTTTCAAAACAGAACATATACGCGAATGGACTTATAATGTTCATAGATGTTAATTAGTATGCACATGGATATCTCTTATAATAATCAAAAAGAGGTCACATGGTAAAGAATTCGTGTGATAGCGAAAATCCTCCGAGGCAGTACAAAACAAAATCCAAAGAAAGTCAAAACTAATCAGAGAGTACTAGCACCAGAAAAGCTCCAATATCTACATACTCGGTTGGAATAATCCAGCAAACAAAGAAATTTTACTCTATATTCCAGTGACAGATTTTGATGCATTTAAGCAAATGTAGACGCTTGCTAATGTTGATGCAGTGTGATATTTTCATAATTAGATGCAAAATGATACTGCAAAACAAAACGGAATTTTTGTATTCTATAACTAATAAAGCATTGCAACTCCTTGATGAAAATCATCGGACTTTATCAACATTAAAATAGATAATGATTTTTTCTCTCTATAAAAGATAATTTTATAGAATCAAACACATAAATACATTAAAATGAAAGTTTTGATCATGAGTAATTTGAAAATTGTATTCAAAACATTCATAGAATATATAAAATCTCAAATCAAATTAAGCAAAAGAAAAATATGACTCGGTGCAAAAATTGTACCAATTATGAAAATTTCGTTTATTTAAAACGAAATAAAAATTCGCATAATTTAGTTCAAAAAAATAAATTTTATTTTATGATCATACATATAAAAAAGAGTTATTTTTATTCGAAAATTTTGAAGTTTTGAACAAAATACTATCTATAATCACACACATTTAAATATAAGAACTTACAATTTAGATATTTTCAATTATTTATATATAATATATATTTTTAATACATAATATGATATCAGAATGATAGATAATTCATACAAGGTTCAAATCAGAAAAATGTACAAATATCATATAATAGGACTTTGAATACAAATTTAACAAATTCAAATTTATCATTAGAATGTTGGTGTCCTCGTGTAGAATTATATATTGCTAGTATCCGATTTATTTTATGCTATGTTGTGAGGATGTTGTGCAAATTTTGATTTTTTTGTGAAAACGTATTTTAGTAATAAAATAAATTATTATTTCAACTTTTACTTCAACAAGATTAAATGCTCATCAAGTTATATCAAGAAAATTGTCCTTACTTGTTGTAATCTCATTTTAATTTTGAATATTAATCAAAAGATTAAAAAAATTATATACATTTCTTTAGTTTTTTTCTATATATTTTCAAATTTGTAGTATTTTGATAATAACAAAGTTAGTGTATAGAAGTAAAAAATGATTTTCAAACTTCAAAGAAAATTTTTTAAATAATTATGATTTAGTTATTTATTATGATTTTGATTTTTAGTATACTACACATAATCGTACCTAGAATTCCAGCTTTGTCTTCCATAGAATATCAAAGTATAATGCACAGAGTCGTAGATTCATACTTCACCTTAATCTGAATTTCAAAAATGATTTTGCTAATGGGAATAATCATGGAACTTACTAAAATCAGTGTGTTATATAACTAGTAATCATATATCGTTATAATTTTCGAAAAAATTTTACGCTATATTTTATAAGTCAAGATAATCACGCTTTTCATGATGAATTTTTAATATATCAATTTTAATTTATTTTTTAGGGAGAAAATATTGTTAGATTTGAGATATAAGATACATTCTTAGGAAATTTTTAATTAAATTCTGGAGAATATTCCATTCGATATTATCAAATCTTGTATTTAAAAAAAATATTATTTTTAGTTTTCATTTTTTAAACATCATTTGATGTTACATCATGTATTATATCATACTTCTATGAAATTGTATTATTTTTATTTTTCATCATCAAGTTTTTCTCATCAAAGTTTTTTCAAACATAGTTTTTCCGATTATTGTTCATATCTATCTATACCAGCTATGGCATATTATAGAGTGTTTATTCAAGTTTTTCTCATCAAAGTTACTTTTTTACTTAACATTTATTTTAAAACGAAAAATTCCATTCAGTCTGGCTGTGGCCTCGGCCCAGCCACCATGTTGCCAGCGGGAATTGTGACCTTCTCCTCAGCCACCGCCCCCTGCTTTTCGGGTTGAAAAATTAGTGGAACACACTGAGAAACAGCTACCGTACAGATACGGGACTATATGTACAAACACTGCTCCAAATCAAAAAATATAAATTTCTAAAGGAAATTTAAATGTTGTATAAATTTGTTCAAACATTTCTATTCAAAGATTTCAAAAGGAAGTAGTAAACAACTTCAAATTTCGATATTACATAACGTATTCGGATATTTCTCTCATAGAAAAATTTCTGGACATTTTATGCTTTGTGCACAGATTTGCTGTACACTATATGTACACATAAATCAACACATTGTGTATAATCTAACCGAATCATTCGTGCTTCCATTTTTTCCTCTACGACAACTACCAATGAAAACTCCCATTGTTATAACGCCGTCATTTCCACTTGATGAATATGCTCCTACACAAGCAAGGGGTCTGTCCCATATCCATGAATCTGACAAATTGTATCAGTACGTAATTACACAGGAAAGATCAAATATAATTTATTTGAAAACATCCAAAGTAACGTGTGTGCACGAGGCAACTTCTAACTTACACTAAGCTTTCATGCACATGCAAAGATACAACGAAACTTAGGAGTGGTAAGATAAACATGCGTCGAGTGTCTATCTAAGGCTCTTCAAAATGTCAAATTTCGTTCAGTAAATTCGTGAATGGAGCTTCTCACGTGGAAATGACGCTAGATAGAAATTTATATTCTCTGCCAGCTTTCTAACTCTAGGAGAACAAACATGTTACTAATTCACATTTGATTAAACAATACATATATTCCTTTCGGTGCTTAATATTTTGTTCCAGAGTTACATCCGGTTGTAAGATTCTGCTTACTTTTGAGTGAAAAAACGACTATTGTCGAGGCGCCTTCGATTTCCGACCTCTCTAGTCCACATGCGGCATTCTTTACTCTAAAGTACTACAAACTAGGAGGGGGGACAACCCTCCCTTCAGAAGCATTGCACATGAGAATCTAGGATGTACATTACAATACACTTGGCAATCTGCAGACAACTTTCAATTCCAAAACTACTTCTGTGCAACACCTCACTGACACAACACGATCGTAGCTAGAGGCCCAAAATGGAGCTAGTACTAGACCCCATTCGACAACAATACTCAGATCATATTTCAAAAGTGAAAACGTGTGGGAAACAGGTGATGCACCCGTCTATTATACTATACAAGTAATTCAAGCTGACACTCTCCACGGGTTTAGAAACTGCAAACGAAGAGATAACAGGTCTTCGAGTGGAGATGGTTCTTTTGAGACCGTGCTGAGGCAGATTTCACTTTATAACTGATAGCATAATCCCAATGCTGTTCTTGAATAATTCGTAACACATTTAAAAAATAATCAGAGTGGCACAACTCTAAGTCTACGTTCTCGTCTATGACAACACCTCTACACTACATACGTGACTATTAACGGCATAGCATTTTCTGGGCAAAACAGGAGACTGAACCTACACAACCGTTCTATATTTGTACAAGAGTTCGCATCGACAATCAGATGCTAATGACCTTGAGGTGGGGGAGGGTAGACTTGATGACCGCCGGGTGATGGTGTGCTTGGAGGTTGCTGGTAGGGACCTCCTGGTGTCTGCGTGCTCGGCGCAGTTCCACGGTCTCTCACAGCTGCTTGCATGTTCGACACACCCTTGTCATAGTTCACGAAACCCATGAACCAGAATTCATAATTATCTTGAGTATTCACCTGAATATATTTCTCTGCAGGCTTGTTTTGGTTCACGGAGGGTACCACGTTTTGAACCCGATCAAGAGGCACAACGACCTAGCCATTTCAACAATAACAATCAGATTGATGACCACAGATGAAGACATATTATGAGTGTGCTATATAAAACAAATGCCTTTCGTCAAGATACAACTACAAAATCATGCAAATATACAGAGTAAAACATGCAAACTATCCCAAAACGAATAACACAAACTACCCTAAGAAGTAACAAGCACTATAAATGAAGCTAACTACATTTTGGAGCTGCGGCAAAAATGGCAGACAATGACAAATAGGGGACAATATTGGATACAAGCCGATTCTAACTTCATAGGTAGGCTCTGTAGAAGCACTGCTGATCAAGGACACTAGCACTGATGGATAATCGCAACATGTCTGGAATTTTGGAGATTACAGCAGAACAGTGGAGCAAATTGCAGTCGAATAGTAATTACCTTGTAGTAGCTGAAAGCCTGCTGTCCTGGCGAGGGTGTGTATGATAAAGGCCGGTCACTGCAGAATGCAAATTTTTTCGAGGATACGTAGAGAGTGCCAGCGACGGGTCCTGTTGATGTTGAAAGATAACAAGCGTATGTCTTTTTCAAAGTCTCATCCGCATCGACAGGAAAGGTTGACTTAAAGACCTTTTCAAATCCACCCTCCGTAAGAATTCTTGTGCCAGCAGTCACTCTTCCCCAGGCTGCGTCTGTAACGGAAGATCCTGTTGTCACTGCATTCCCCGCCAACGACGTCAGACTTAGAGATACCAGATCCTTGTGTATCTGTTTTAACTCTATTTATAATCGCTACAGCACTTAAAAGAAGAGGAAAGTAGACCCCCACATTTTACATAAGACCATTCGTCTTGCGGAGAAATGGTCTCATGTACAATTGATGAGAAAAAGAATGTACGAAGTGTGCCATTCATGCCGCATTGGATTTCACCAAATTCGACACCATGCAAATTAAGGTTCAACCTCGTTTAAGGAGTAAACACATGGTTTTCACCAATAACATCAGAAAAAGTAGGAAACGAGATTACTCACAATGGCCCCAGACGTTTCCAGCAACAACTTCGACTTTCTTTCCAATCTGATTCACCTGTTCGACAATTTTGTCCATGGTTCCTGCTCAACAACAAATCGGGTATTAAGAGGTACCCTTTGGTCAAAGAGCACGCATTCCACGGCTGTCCGAGCAAAGCGCCTACATACAGAGCCTGAGCCTAATAAATGCTGATGATAGCTGTGTTTCACCACGACGCAATCTGACAGAGACAATGACCAAGGTAAAATCCAAGACTTTCGAGTCTTGATCGGAGATCATGGACAAGCCAGGACTCCGAAGACTGTCGAATGTCATCGCACTGAGGATGATTTTGAATATACCGACAACATGAGAAAACGGAACCATATGCAAAAACAGATCTCATCATACTAATGAGATTGAGACATTGGAGAGAGAGAGAGGACGACTAGACGCAAATCACAAGTGCTGCCACTATGTACGACAGTGCTAAAGCTTACCTTTCTGGCCGGTGGTGGATGATTGGACGTAAGGGCTTTGAGGAGCTTGACCCAAGGGCTGCGTGCCAGAAGTGGTGCGAACAGGTTGAGTTTGAGCTTGCTTGGCCTCGAAAGATCCACTAGGCTGTCTAAATAACCCGCTATTCTGGCTCTGCATTCCTCCTATTGCAGCATGCTGATTATCAGGATGAGCACTGGGATTTGCCGGAGCTCCCATCACGGGAGTCCCAAATCGAGTGTTTGCATCCTGTTGATTGACTTGTGGATACGATGAATACTCGGATGAATGCTGCTGGCTGTTCTGGTGCTGGTATGGGTACGGTGGGGCGTGCTGATTGCTGTTGTTGTTCATGGGATCCATCTTCTCTTCCCCTTGTCTTCCTTCGGGCTCTCTCACTCCCACACCACGAGACTACCGGCTGCTCCTGCTCCTGAAATCTGCCCTGCTCTGTTCTTTTCTGTTGATCGACCGATCAGCCAAAGAATGAGTGGAATGGCGGACGCGCTGTTGCTGACCCAAAGCTTGCTCAGAGAGACAATGGCAGACGGGGGAGATTGGGTAACGGAGGCCAACACCAGATCTCAATTTCACGATGACAGAATAGGATCAAAGCCACCCTTAAATCAGTTCACGCTCAAGCAAATCAAATCTCACAGTCCACGACGAGACGAGTAGAATAAGAAGAGAAACACCGACACAAGAGACACAACGCCAACGCTGCCTTCCGACGCCCAAAGCTTTCTTGCTGCAAAAGAGAACCTGCTCTTGATGACTTCAGCCGCGTTAAGGGCTTCCACGTGGCCGGACAAATTCTAGACCTATCCTCTAGGCCTACGTGGCCCTGTCCTGAGTTGGTGCCAGCTCATAACTTACCACGTGGAATGGGCTCCCCTCTCTGAGGTTGTCTGCTGCCGGACAGAGCTGAAACATGACGTCTGCTTCCTCCTTTCCCTTCCCTTCCCTTCCCTTCCCATCCGCGTCCCCGTTCCGATTCCAATTCCAATTCTGAGAATGAGCTCCAGATGAGACCAGGTTGCCTACGGAAGAGGCGTACTCTGCGTCCTCCAGCCACGTGCGACCCCATCCGGCCTGATTATTATTCTGGAGGAACTTTAAGGGAAAGCGTCACTTTGTGGGCTGAATGGCAGAGATTCCAACCATGCTGTAAATTCTCTTTCCAGTTTCGATCTTCAAGCCCTCTCCTTCAAACTGCTCCGCAGTTCTGGCTGCGGTTCATGTCGTAGTTTACACTTTTGGAATTCGTGTTTTTCGTCATCTGCAATGAAGATCTGTTGGAGGGAGGGAGGGAGGGAGGCGCAGGTGCGTGTGTTATGTCTTTCCTTGGCTTTGGAGGCTTCTTCTGGACGTCGGGGGGTGAGGTGTCGAGATTGTAACGAATGTGGACTGGGGATTTACTTGCTGCACGAGATTGAGCCAATAAGAAACTCTCGGAGTCGTGGCTTGTACCCAACGCCGATATTTTGAAATGGGGGAGGGGAGCAGTTTCGAACCCGAATTGGCGGAGGGTTTGCGAGGTGTCGGGTTTGTCATTGCGTGAGTTTCAGCTGGCATTACACTCCTCCCCACCTGGTCTCAAAGATCGACCTGCTGGCCACCAACAGAAACCCACCACCCCCACCTCCTCCTCCTCCTTCTGACCTGCGCCGTGCTCTACAAAGCAGTACAGGAGTCGGTACTTCTGTTGCCAAAGACCTAAAACTAGTAAATAAACTTAGCAACTATTTGTGCAGAAGCGTCGTGAGAACGAACAAGACGACGAGTCAATAGCTCAGCGTCGCAATCTTTTTCGAACTCATAGCCAGCCAATTTTCGCCATGGAAGGAAAGTGCTACCCGAATTCGAACTGTCTTGAATCCTTCTCTTGTGAGCCCCAACACGTCCTTGGCTCCACCGGGTAGGACAGGAATGCTCAGTGGAACCTCATCCAAACCAATGCCTCTTAGGACAGATCCGGGGAATGTGTCACTGCGGAAGGAAGGGACTGGGAAACAGACGAAGAGTCACGGTGGAGGAAGCAAGCAAGAGAAAACTGCGTTGAATTGGTTTTCAAGTAAACGGCCGACAGACCTTGAGATTCAAGCGAACAGGAGGATGCAAACTGAGCGACATCAGTCATGACTCATGACTGATGTCGCTCAGTTTGCAACAGTCTCATGACTCATGAGACTGTTTCTCGAGGGTGTCACGTTTGGTCGTCCGTACTTTGATTCGTTGCTTGAAGGAAAGCCCTTGAGAAAACGACGAATTGAGACTCGTGTTCCTGTTGCGGGCTAGGCACCGTGACACGGGAATAGTCCCGCGACTGATGGACGCGGGATCTCTTTGCCTCCACCCCAGGGGATATCAGAGCTGACTGTAAGAGCGCCAAAGCTCGAAACAAGAAAAGACAATTACGATTTGCCATAAATTACTATTTGCAAGGGATATAAGAGTCGGACCATTCCTCGAAGCGACTCAGGAGAATCAAAAAAAAAAGTCGGATCCTGAAAGTGTGATCGAAATCCGTCAATGCTACTGTGAGGAAGGACATCTTTCTGAAAGTGCAACATGAGGAGGATGACTGAGCGAGCTTGGGGGGCAGATTCTAGCCACACCGAAATCATGGTCGAGAAACCCTACACTACACCGAGTCACGAGGACTCAGGATTCCTCCTTTCCATGTGCAACTTGCAGGGGTGTTCCTCGACGGTTCCTCATGGTGGAAAAGAATCTTCCGACAGCCAGTAATTGACGAACGCTTTGTCTGCTGGCATCCGAATTTCTTTCACGAGGTGAAAGCAAAGTTTCACGAAAAGTTTTATACTTCTCGAGCAGAGCAGTCCATCCAAGCCCCGCGATTCTTTCCGACATGAACGATTCTCGGATGGCCTTTCTACAAATACCCTCGTGGCGGATGAAAAGGTAACCAGATGAGAATTCTACAATTTATGGGCTAAATGGCAAAAAGTGCTAAATTATTTAATCATTCGATGCCGGTAAACTTTGCAATAATTTTAAATCTGTATTACTTCTCTTATTTTGGCACATCCAAGTGGAACGCCAGATCCTCTGAGTACTTCCGTGCACTTTTTATACTTCATTTGTTTCGCTTGGGAGCCCTAAGTCTGCGCATTTTTCGAGCAATATATTTTACCCGGGACGAGATTCCATCCTGCCGAAAATGAACACCGTCCGAGTACCTTTATTTGTACCCGAAGACTATTTACTGGTTTAAAGGCATTCATAAATATTTTCATTTGATTGATCGATTGGAAATATGTTCTCTTTTGATGCATGGAGTAATGAACATAGTTACTGAAGGCAAATGCATCGCAAAAGTCCACATCAATAGAGATGACCACAAGTAAGATTTCGTTCGTAGAAATTGTTGAGAAAGAATGTCCGAAGACTTCTTTGATGATAGAAAACTTGGTGTTTTATATAAGTAGAAACTTTTTGCCATGCACTAAGCAACCAAGCTCTGACAATCAAGCCTAGGGCCTTAATTGTTGAAGTGGGGCCCCACTTTCATATCGGCCTCATCTACATTCATGCTTGGGAGCTTTAGGAATACCTCATTTGTATAGGCTTGGAAAAAATTCAATTTCTTAAAACAGTTAAAGGTAGATCAGGTAAATGTTAGAATAAGTTAGATATTAAAGATGTTTTCAGAGTACTAATATCACAGAAAACTTGACAACTATATCACTGTCCAAAAGGAGTGGATGCAACTTATCAGTTATCCATTACACCACAGTTATAGATTTTAGATTACACTGTATGTACAAGCACTCCTACTGATTAAAATAGTTTGACTCACATGATGTGGAAAGAGTTAGAGAGACTATTTGCATCTACTAGTGTGGATCGAAGTCAGCTTTTGCGACAAAAATTGTCAAATCTCGAAACGAGGGAGGGTCAATCTATCAAAAGTCACATGCGTGTCGTGAGAAGCCTCACTAGTCAACTGTCAAACTGCAATGATACAGTCAAAGATTCATAACTTAAACATTTAATCGTGATGAATTTTCTACAAGCTTTTCAGGATTTGTTCCTTCCATTATTGCCAGCATTGTTCATAATCCTTCAAAGCTTTCACAATTTTTTACTTTTCTCACCGATGAAAAAATGACATGTGATGTTACATCTAACCAAACCGGCGTATCAGCAGAGTCTCTTATTGCCACCACCTAGCGCCGCAGACAAGACAAGTAGTTGTATCATATAGATAAGAGGAGATTTATTTTGTTCCAATGATCCAACAATGATCTTGACTACCACGGATTAGACATAAGAAACTTGAGCAATCAAAATCATATTAAGTTTTGCCATGCCTATTGTGGTTTTTCTCAAAATTATTCTCTTCAGGGATCTACTAATTCTTGTACTACTCCTTGGCGTTCTTTTGAAAGATCTTACAACATCAACATACTTATTTCTTCACCGTATGCTACTCCGAGCTTGAAACCTGGCAATTGCATTGAGTGCGGAGAAATGAAACACTGATTGTATAAATGTAGTTAACATCGAATTCAGAAGGAGATCAAAGCGCTTCAGATCTCCTACAACACTCTCAAAAACTTCAGGCAATCCGAGTCAAACAACATGGAATGTTATTTCATCGGTCATGATGACCATTGCAAGGTTGCTTTTGAGGAAGCTGATATTGTCTTCTTTGATAATGACAATTTTCTTGTCATAAACAATACCGTGGCCAACGATGCAACAAATGTACTTTCTGCATTTCTAAGTCAAGTGGAAGGAAAATAGTCATGGTTTTTTGATAGTGGAGTCTTCTCACACCTAACTGGAAATAGTTACCTTCAATCTAATATCAAAGATTAGTCTGACCATATCTCAGTTAGAACTACAAGCAATCAAATTCTTCCATTTTGTGAAAAGTTCTCACTTATATTAAAGTAGAAGAAGCTGTCTAATTTTTTTGCGTGCCTGGTGTGAAGAAAAATCTGCTTTTGATCGGACGTTTGATTGATTTAGGCCATATAACACTCTTTAACTCCAAGCATTGATATGTATTTGATAGAAAAAATCCACATAGCATACTACTGCAAAGAGATAGCGATCCACATAGTAATTTAAACAAGCTTACTAAGCTTGCAGTTCTCTCACTAGCGAACACAACATCATCTATCCCAACACAAATTTTTTGTTTCATTGAAGTTTAGAATAAGAGACTAAATCGGATCTTCATACATGTTCAGTCTCTCAAGCATAACTTTGGCATTCCAAAATGGTCATGCAAACTATCAAAAACTCCATTTGAAAGCCTGTGAGAAGCTGGTTGTCGGAATTTTTTAGATCCGTCACATTAGATCTTTTTGTGCTAGTTGTTTGAAAACAAAACAAAGCTGAGAGTGTATCCCAAACATTCTCGTATTCAAACAATCCGTCCATTACAGTTGTTGCACTTTGACTTATGCGGGCATCTTTTTTTTTGAATCCTTTACTAAGAAACGAGACATATTGATGTTTATTGACAATTTTATTATGTATACTTGGATTTATTTTCTAAGGACCAAAGACAAAGCACTACAGCAATTTCAAGATTTCAAAGCTATGATGGAGAATAATTACAATCACAAGATTGCGGCACTTCGAACAGATAAAGAAAAAGAATATCTCTCTAAGACTTATCATGCTTTCAACGTAAAGTCAGGCATTTATCTTGCTTTAACTTGTGTGTAATTTCCACATCAAAATGGCATATCCCAGCAAAAGAAAAGAACAGTACTTGAGATGATCCGAAACTTACTACTTTTATCTCAATTACCTCAAGCTCTTTAGGAGGGGAGGCTGCAAAGAAAGTCGTTTATACCTTAACCGGTTGTCAACAAAGGCAGTGCAGATGTCACATTCTTTTAACGATTGACTGGTCTCATATCAAATGTCAAGCATTTTAGAGTCTTCGGATGTGCAGCTTTTGTCCTACTTACAATCAGTTTCTAAAAAATTTTTGCTACATCCCCACCAATTACATGATACTCAATCAAAATCCTGTCTTGTGTATGATGTGGTATAATGAAAGAAGTGTTACCAATAGAAACGTAAGATTTAACGATTCAGTTTTTGGACTTGCAGTCCGATACGATCTTGAACTTGTTGACGATTTGATTATTATACTTCCCCGAAAAATAAAACTTCAATCAAGGACTTGCTTTATCAAAATTGTCTCTGAGAATGTTCTACCTACTGACGCTACACCTCACTTATTTCCTGAGTCCACACATGCTTAGACGATAACTCCGTTCATTCAAAAATCCACTGTCTTAGATGTATAAACAACAACAACTACTCCTTTTATTTTTTCTTCTTCACCTCTCTCATCTCCACAAGATGAATCCATCATCAAAAGTGAATGGTTACAAAGCTTTACTTCTACTATTGACAATCCTGACTAAAATACATCAACTACTTTGAGACTCTTTTTAGAAGATATGTCAAACAGTTGGTCCATCACACACAGCTTTAGGCATTCTCTAGCTTATTGGAAGGACTATGTGACTTACAGTGTTGAGATTCCTAGTAATACACTCGATTGTTATGAAGTTGAGCTTATTGACTACATGGCAGAACAATTCATCTTTGACAAAGCTATAAAGATTCCTAAATGGCATGCGTTGATGATTGATGAGTTGAACTCCATCCATAAAAACCATACCTGTATCTTGGTTAGATTACCACAAGGAGCAAAGGCAATAACATGCAAGTGGGTGTTTAAGGTCAAAGAAGTTACAAACGGTTCTGCACCAAGTCTTAAGTCTTGTCTTGTAGTAAGAGGCTTTCAACGAAAAGAAGGTAAGGACTACACCAATACCTTTGCTCTTGTTTTGAAGTGTTCTACAGTAAGATCTGTGTCTATCATTGCCGATGCATGCGGATGGAAATTAAAAATCTTTTATTAGAAAAGATTTTGAGTATTTTGTATGTAAACTTAAAAAATCACTTTACGATTTAAGACAAGCTCCAAGGTCTTCTACAAATGTATTGACTTATACTTAACATGAGTATGCATGACATATTGTCACTCAGTTCCTAATTTTTATGTTTTAAGGGAGAATTGTCTCATAGTAATCCTGATGTTCTATGTAGACGACATGTACATA